GCGCAAACGGCTACCGCAGACAACGTCGCCGGGCGCCGGTCCCGTGCCGAGCGGGATGCTGGGCGTGCCGGGCATCCAGCGCAGCTTCTCGTCGGCCAGCTCGACGGCCGACCACGCATCGGCCATGTCGTCGGCGCCCGCGTCGTCCAAGGAGCGTGAGCGCCTCCTCCGTGCCGTCATCAGCGTCGCGCCCGCCGGCGCGCCCGTCGAGGACATCACCGACATGCTCGTCACCCTGCCCAAAAAGGAGCGCGCGCTGTGCCTCTTTAACCCGGAGGTCCTGCGCGCCAAGGTCGAAGACGCCCGCGAGATACTCGACATGACCGAGGACGAGGAGATTGGCGGCGGCGGCAGCGATGCGCCCGCGTCGGCAGCGGCAGCGGCCTCGAGTTCGTCGCCAAAGAGCGACAAGGCGGTCAAGAGCGAGCCCGCCGTCATCGGCAGCGGCAGCAACACCAACGGCACCGACGCAGCGCCTGCGACGACGACGACGACGACGACGACGACCTACACGCTCGCCACGCTGGCCGAGCTGCCGGCGGCCGAAATCATCAAGCTGGCCAACTCGACCCAGGGCCCGGCGAGCTCCGGGCTGCCGCTGCCCAAGGCGGACCCCAAGGTCGTGCAGCAGACGGACGAGTTCATCGACTCGCTGGCGGGCAAGGCGCCGCACGACCAGAAGCAGAAGCTGGGCGACCAGCTCTTTAAAAAGGTGCGCGGCTTCGGCGTCAAGGGCGCGCCCAAGATCACCATTGCCCTCCTCGACTCCGAGGACCTGCGCGCCCTCGCCCACCTCATGAACTCGTACGAGGCCGTGCTGCGCGAAAAGGTGCTCCAGCGTGCCGCCGCTGCCACCAAGTGAGCAGGCGACGATTGCCACGGCCACAGCCGCGGCGGCGTCGGCGGGCCGACATGCACGCCTGCCTGCCTGCCTGCCTGCCGTCCCCGTTCGCCCGCCGAACCCGTCTGTCGGCCGTCGTTCCGTCAGCGCCCTGAGCGCACCCACCAACAAAACCGAAGACCGCACCGCGCGTCACCGAGGCCGCCATCGTCGTCGCCGCCGTCGTCGTCGCAGCACCGCCTTCCTCGCCCGTCCTCACCAAGATACCAGACTGGGCGGGCGGCACCAAAGGGCCACGCCGACCCTTCCGCCCAGTCCCCCGTCCAACCGCCCCGCTCCGCTTTGTTCCGCCTCCATTCGCTTTCCTTTCGTTCCTCTCCCTTCCTTTCGTCTCGGTTTCGTCCCATCTGTTTTCGCGGCCCTGCACCGCGTCGACTTGGTTTGTATAGTCGCCCGTCGCCTCCATCGCGACCTACCTACCCTCCGCTCATTTGATCATCTATAGACCCGTACGCCTCGCGCTTCTCCATCGGCCGCTCTAGTCGCCCTCGTCTTCCGTGTTCCCTTGGGCGCACATGCTCGGTTGTGCGCCCACCGAGTCGGGTCGAGACGAGACGAGACGAGATGGGACGGGACGAGACGGGACGAGGTGGAACGAGGCAGGTGTGCGCTGCCGAAGCTGTCTGCGCCCCCTGCCTGCGACGCTGCGAATACAGCCCACTCGGAGCGAGCAGGCAGAGCAGCCTCGGCCTCAGTCTCGGTACCCGTCTCTCTTCTCACCCACTCTCGAACCTGTATCCCCTGCCATCCCAACCCAGGGCAGACGTCGTCGTCGTCCTTGTCCGACCCCACCCGTCCACATCGACGTGCAAGCCAACCCACGGCGGTTGGCGCGCCCAAAAAAAAGAAAGCACTCCGAATCCGGGAATCGAACCCGGGTCTGCGCCGTCTTGGGAAACGCGGAGGACGTACTGACAAGGCACCGTCATGGCCACTAAACTAATTCGGAGCCGAGTGATTGCCTCCTCGAAATGTCAAACCACAATCTGTCTCCAACACAGTGGGCTGCATCCCTAACCCTAACCCTAACCCTAACCGTATGGTTAGCAGTAACTAACCCTCCTACCTTGACTCAGCCTAAACCCATCGCTTCGCTTTAGGGTTTCACCCGGGGGTTACAAGGGGGTTCCCTGGGATCCAAAACGGATTTGCTGGTTGAGCGATCTGAGAACTTCAGTTGGTCCCTTGGGTCCCCCCTGATGCAGCAAAAGTGTTAAAGTTTAAGCTCTACCATTGGCAAAATGGGGCTTGAAGTGATCGTGCTATTTTTGGAAAGTTGGCCGGATCAGTCTGGTGTCTTAACAAAAGTTGTAGAGGAGGCCCAGGGAGGCATATTGGCCAGAAGGAAAAAAGTTCCTTTTGGGTGGTTGAAGTTGTATGAGGTTGGGAAGTTGGGCATGAAGTTAAACTTCACCAACCTCCCCTGGTGAAGTTCGTGAACTTTGACAACTTTGACAACTTCGACTGCCCTGTGCACCTTGGCCCTGTCTGCCTGTGAGGGTTTGTGGGACACCAGGGGACACTGTCACACAGACAGAGAGGCTACTGGACAGCCTCCTGAGGCTGGGCAAGGTTCACAAGGTTCATTGAAGGTTGTTGCTGCCTGGCTATCTACAGTGCAACCTTGCCTGTGAGGAAAAACCCCCCCAGGGGAGGGTGAAGGGTTACAAGGTGTTCTGTGGGAAAAACATGG